TAAAGACATAGATGGGTGAATTTGGTGTGGAAGAACTTGATTGTTCCGCACAGAGTACTGACCTCAACCCCATTGAGCACCTTGAACTAGGATAGAGACTGTGAGCCAGGCCTTCATGTCCAACATCAGTGCCTGACCATACAAATGCTCTTCTGGATGAATGGGCAATAATTCCCACAGACACAGTCCAAAATCTTGTGGAAAACTGTCCCAGAAGACTGGCAGCTGTTATCGTTGCAAAGGAGGGACCAACTCCATACTGAAGCCTATGGATACAGTTATTTAAAAAATCAGCTGGAATGTATGAATTGTAAAGTGATTAAAACATTCTAAAACAATATTGCGGGATCTGAAATCTAGCCCTGAATCACAAATCCAGGCCGTGTTTCCAGTTCTTCCAGGCAGTTAGTTTAATAGTTAATGATTCTGATTGGCCACAGAGGCTTCACACCTGATTGACAGATAAAGGACGGCTGGAAAATCAGCAGTGCTTGGCCTTTTAGGACCGTGATTTGAATAACCCTGCAATATGGCATGATAATATGTTTCTATGGGTGTAAACTGTCTCCCTCTGGCAGTCAACATGAAAATCAATTACCAAATACAGCAAATCTTTATCCGGCGTTTACCCACAAGATATAAAGTACTGGAAGCTTCTATTAAAGAGTAATACACGTGGTTTATACTAACGTGCAGTTGAGGGTTGCAGTTACCTTCTTATATAAATGTTTTTTTTGTCTTCAGCAGTATAGCAATGTGCCAAAAATGGCTAAATTGACCTCTAATCAGAAAGCAGTCAGCCCCTTATCTGACGGAGCTCCTCAAATTTCATGGTGCACTGTAAATGTGATGGAAACCTGAAATGCCAAGACAAGTTCCACGCCTTTCTATCAAAGTTCATTTTATTCAATTATGCAACAATGCATTGAGCTGGAAAGAGAATACCCCACATTCCTCAAGGTGCGAAAATAGTCCAAAGGTATCCCCAAGATGCCCACTTTATGCAAGGTCTCTGGTCGTGGCTCTCAAGGGCTGGCATATATGCGATTCTGCATTCTATTATGGTTAATTCAATAAAATTAGCATTTCCTTACTGATTTCATTTGGTTTCTCTGAGTATTTAGCTTGGTTGAGGAAAGATAAGCGGAGCACCTTCACATACGTGCCAGCCCCTTTCATCTTAAATATCATCAGCATGTTTCCTAGTTCCGTTCACTGGAGTTTTTGGGGAGCAGACTCCAGATCAGACTTCATTCGTCTCTGGATTTTTTCGGGGACACGGCGTCCTCGCCCTGCATGACATCGCCGCCCCTCTTGCGCAAACCCTTCATCTTGCGAGTTTGCAGTTTGTCCAGGTTCTGCTTCTGCATGTGCAGGCGTCCAAACTTGGTGCCAAAAACATTGTGGGAAACGTTCTTCTTGTTCTTCGGCTGCAACAGTATGCAAACAATTTAATGACTTACAACATTTCCGTTTCAAAACACAGCAGTATAATTACCTGACCACTCATGCAAAGTTGTGTAATTAAAGAGTTAATTTTACCGTGCATACTACTACTATTACAGAAAACGCCAATTATGAGCTCCCTTTGTCCAGTTTCCAGAGACAGATAAACAAGCTGCCAGAGCCACCTGTTCCCCCTCTACAGGGAAAATAGCATCTGAACATTTTCCAAGGCCAATCTCTACCAAAACAACATGACTGCAGTGGTTGAAGCAACATGAACACACAATTATACTCTACAAAATTCTCCCTTCAGGGAGATGGTTCCAGCCCAACAGAACCACTAGACTGAGAAATGAACAGCTACACTACTCAACACCTGACCCACAGGCTGCCTCTGGACTATTGCATATCTGCATTTTACTTCAGAATACATGATTTTTATGCATATCTATGAATACATCCATTATTCTAATCCCTGTAGTCTTAGTTTTTGTGTTTATTAGGAACAAAAACTAGGCATGCAGAATATCACATCAGGATTATATCATGCATGTGCAATAATAACCAGGACTGTAGATGACAACATGCTATAAATTTTTGTCTGGATGCTGGCTTTTCAGTAATATATGGTCATTTACTTACATACATAATTTGATAAGTAAATATAGTAGTACACCTAAAATACTTGCCGTTTCCTTGTTTTTAATAAACGTGTCGGACTTCAAACTGCAAAAATTCCTGCCACACCATGATGTCTTTTTACCTTGTTTAACCACAATGTCTGCTCTTTTAAAAGATGTTCTGAGCTGTCCCTGTCTTCACCGCCACTTCAGTGCTTATCGCTTCCATGATATAACAAAACAGTGGTATACGGCGTGCTAACCGAAGGTAATAAACATAAGGATATGCTGCATTTTATGCAGATTTGAGCATCATAACACAATTAAACTCTCATTAATATTTCAGGCGCACAACTAATCTGCTTACAAAATCGTGGGTGCAAGTAAGCTTCTTTATAGTACTGAAAAGCTGGCATCCGGAAAAATGTTTACGCCCATCATATACATTTCTGGTGATTATTGTGCATGTGTGATATAATCGTAATGTGATACTTTGCAGCCCTGTCAAATACACCATGTCAAATTTTGTATGACTGCATACTTGGCTAATAAAACTGATTCTGATTCTGTTGACCACTCCCACCTTTAGGGCCTTGGGCTGCTTGTGGGCCGTCTTGTACAGGTCATCGGACGCCAGGTGCGTTCTGCGAAGGATGAAATCGAACGAGGGGCCCATTTCCTCCAGCTCGATCCTGGGGGTCCGACAGCCCGACTTCTTCAGCAAAACTCTGCGCCGGAAGAGGAGAGGACAATGCAGAAAGGACATCCGCAAACTGAGCAAACGGCAGCTGACATCGCTGAAGAAACGCAGACGGCAGTACAAAAGTATCAGGAGCCAAGCTTCCATTAAATTCCTGCACAAATAAGCTAATTTTATAGGTCAACAAAGCATATTCTATTTCCACTGCAGTTCTGTAAATTACTTCTTTTGAGACTTTACAAAGCCACCTCAAGAGAATGCAAAAACTTTCTTTGCAATATGTGAGGATTGTTTTGAAAGTTGTTTCCATTAAGAGCTTTTCAGTTCAGATCTTCAAAATGCGCAAAATCTAGGTCAGTGTTTCTCAATCTAGTCCTCAGGCGCCCCCCAGACGGTCCATAATCTTACTCCCTCCCGGCTCCCAGGAGCTAAAGCGTGGACCATCTGGAGGCCCCGAGGCCCCGGTTGAGGAACATCGATCTAGGTCAATGGAAACAGCACTATAGGGTGATTCTAGCTTTGGGATACAGCGCTGCGGCAGACTAGTGTCTCAGTCACCGAAAGCATGGAGTATAAGCTGGGAGTTTGCATTGGTATGGAGGAACAGGGAGGCAGCTGGACAGCTGGAAGTAGGAGATGAACACACCTGTAGCTGCGCATGTAGATTTTTCCATCCAGGGCCGTGAAGTGAAGGATGTGCTCCAGTCCTGCCAGCCGAATGGCGGAAACGGTCGGTCCCCTGAAGAAATCTGTAAATAAGGGAGATGGAATCGCATCACAGGGTGGGAATGAGTGAATGTTCACTCTGCAGTGCTCATTTCAGAGGAGCGTCCTGAAACCTCGCACAGAATCACAGCCGACTGGAACCACTTACAATAATCCTGTATCAATATGTTATAGTAAAAACTGGCCCAAATACAAGTTATAAAAGCTTATTCAAAGACAAAATACTACCGAATTCCAATGACTGTCCTGAAAGTCTAAACTCACCAATCAGGATGCTCCGCAGACGAGCATACTCCCCGATTGTGTCGAAGGCATCTCCAGCAAACACCAGCAGAGGTTTGGTTCCCTCTGGGCAGCTGGCACTCTGTGCAAGCAGAAGACTAACATGAGGGGCTAATTCCTTAAGACCCACGTCCTAAAGCCCCATACAATATTAGATCAAACGTGCTGATACTTCTTTAAAAACTTGACATTCACAATGATAGTTCCCCACTTAGGTGCTGACACACAAATCCTTGCAACATCTTATACGACTTTACCTTTATTTCCTTCAGCGAAACAAATTTCTCGATGCCCAGCTCGATCATGTCCAGCACATGATAATCAAACATGCGTCCTGTAACACAAAACCACGGGTCAGATGTATCATCTGAAATTTGGTTGGGCGATATATCGGTAAAGTAACACACTGTGATCATGAACGTTCATATTGCCATCAATTTGAATATCCCGATACAGCCTAAACACTTGTTGTGTTACATAATACTGTACTGATTTTATACAAATTCCACCAAGGTCTGCTGGTGGAATATCATTATTATGGCATATTGTCCAGCCCGAGTCAAATCCATTCCCTGGAACGAACAGCAGGGCAGTCAGAGAAAACCAGGAACAAAATATACTGTCTACATTTTCTAGTGTTACGCCCTATGATAAAAAAGTTTATTTTCTTATGATTCGTTGATTAAAATTGCATTTCAATTTGCAGTCCTTAGTCACCTTTTTCATTTTCTGAATCTATTTAAGGGGAATCCGAAGAGAATTTTAAGAAAAAAATGAAGCCATGAAGTAAAGAAATAATCATCTGACTTATTGTGATAATTATTAATACAGGGGGGAAAAAATCACGATAAAATGTCTCCATATCGCTCAGTCCTAATCTGAAGCATCTCATGACAGAGGACGTGGAGGACAAAGGAAAAACGTACCAAATACGAAGTTGTTTGGCCGTTTCTTGTTGTGTGAGCCGAACAGAAACAAGGAGCAGTCTGACTTTTTTGAGAAGAATTCCTGAAGTCAGAGAGAGAAATTAAATCTTATATACAATTGTTTGTATATAATATTGAATACTATATGTCACAGACTATTCAGCAGTAACATTGTAATATGTACGCTGACACGAGATTTCACAGAAGATTAGCACAGACATGTCAGAGGTCATACCTGACTTTAAAAGTGAAGAATCACTTGATACTTACCAATGATGTTTGATCTTCAAATGGTCGAGCTGTATTCTTCCTGCAAAGAAAAGAGCACTTGATATGATCATCCATTTAAGGTTAGCCTTTGGGCTCGCTGCTCAGTAGAGTGAAACAAAAAGGAGCTTATCTGTGATCACTTTATTTGAATAATATATAGCCCATCTGCACAGGGAATCACAGCAGTCTGAGCAACATGAGTAAGATGCTGTAAGCTTCTGCAAAACCACGGTCATTCAGTCAGTCACCCATCAGAGCAGCCCCTTGATACAGATGCAAACCAGGCAGGAAATAAACATTACCAGGCTAACACAGATAAATTCTGCCCCCCATTAACATACAGGAACGTAACAACCAGTTTTAACAGTTAAAACTCACAATTATTAAACAAAACACTATAATCAAAACCGCGGAAAACGCCGGTGAGGATTACATTTACAGCTACTTACTTTTTGTACAAAACTGCATTTGGTTTCTTTAAGGAATACTGGAAAAAACAAAAGCTTGTTAAATCACTTGTGTATATTTCCTTACATTTAAATAAGAACGTAATAAGGTAGAAAAACATTTTTTGTTTTTCAGTTTATGGCAGTATGAATACTTGTATTCACCAACTCATGAACAATGAGTAAACTGTGCAGGAGGCTGAATTTTAAACAATAATAGCAATAACAATACTTACAATATCTTTTAGGGCGTTTGTGACGGTCTCGCTTGTGTTACCGCCTTTAATTATCATGGCATTCTTTACGTTCTCAGTTAATTTTGGTTCCCTGCTTTGGAGAAATCGTTTTGACCTCTTTGTTTTAGGTTTTCTGTAAAACATAAAATGCATTCATAGTTAGGTTCATTTTAAAATGACTTATTAAGAATAATTTCGAATGATCATACACTTTAGGTTGCTGTATGGCTTGTGAAACTCGTGAGAAATGAAACGAATTGACGAATAGTATTATTCCGAATAATCTTATTAGGAAGGCAACGCTGTAAACATTCAGTATTATGGTCCGAAAACCCCATCATCAGTTCTTGCACCGTCAGACAAAACGTAAAAACTCACGCGACTCTGTCCAAGGTCGTCATTTTCAAATAAGAACCTGACTTCTAATTCTTGCGATCTTGACGTTTTACAGAGCAGCAAACTCCACGTGAATTTCAGTGATAAAACATACCGGAAGTAAAACCAGCGATGCACGTGTACCAACGTCATTTCCGTTTGTATTTCGAGACAGAGATACTGAGGCCACGGTTTTTGCAGTCAAATTGGGATATTTTGAAAATACAGTTGCGGATAAATATTAGGAGGTCGCGAGTTGCGGGTTTTCGAGCTGTTTTCATAATTATCGCGGCAGCGGAACTAAGGGGAAAAAGAAATTATCATGAATGCAAGTGGCTCCTAATCCTAATACTGAATTGTTATTCTCAGAAAGTCAGACAGACGCAGGGTTGCAAACTTTCACGCATATGGCGTGACACTCACGCTTTCAGACTCTCACGCGAGCAATCTTACGGCAAATCCGTATTTTTCCATTATAAACCTGAAATTGGCTACATCAGAAGCGTTGGGGTAGTTTGCAAACCCTACAGACTATTTAGAAGGTAATAACAGTTACATACATGTAATTGCGTGTGTGTGTGCGCATACTTGTCTCGAACTGTAAATCTCACTCCAGCCAGCTGACCAAAGCTGGCAGCCCTGGGGAGAGAGAGTTCATCAGTCTACGTGACGTCTACTGTGGTTTTAAAATGTTGGACATTTGAACGTGATCGCATGCAAAATACTGGTTTATTTCTTTGAGATACAGTATACTGGGATTTCAGATATTGAGCTAGTTTAAGCTTCCGTGGGTTGGGTTTCAAGCAGACCTTGGGCTGGAGATTTTTGCTGGACCTGGCAACATTGCCTATATTACGCAATAATAGGACGGTTTTTTGGAGGATTGGCGAGAAGCGATGCATTTCGTGACTCGTATGATATTGCTAAATCTGAGCTAGATATGGTTTTCCATAAGATCGGAATATTGTATTGCTAAACAGATATAGGTATATAGATTCTCTCTTAGTCAACATTTGAATATAAAATCTAAAATTAATATGAGTTTTCAGGGGGGAGCATGGTACGTGGTCTGTGGTTAGGACTGTTGCCTCACACCTCTGGGAACAGACTTGGGGTCTCTTTGTTTTATGTGTGTGGCGTTTGCATGCTCTCCATATGTCGGAGTGGGGTTTCTCCACCACAAACCAGAAACACGCAGAGGTTAATTTTGTGTGTGTGTGTGTGTGCGTGCGTGCATGCTTTGCAATGGATTAGCACCCCATCCTGGGTTACTCCCATCCTTGTGCCCGTGGCTTCTGGGATAGGCTCTCGACCCCCACAACCTGGACTGATGAATATACTTGAATTATGTCAACTGAGATAATGATCAGCACAAACTTTCCTCTCTAAACCATAAATCACCCAACTACATGATGGAGGACAGAATTTATTAAGAAAAAGAACAAATAAAACAACCAAGCTCTAAACATGAGAAGTGCCCAATGAGCATTTTGTGCTGTGTGCCTGATCTGTTAACCAAGTTCTATGTCTCTAATCCCCTTATTCATGACGTGATTGTCAGGCTCCTGCTGACAGTAAGAATTCATGTAAGACAATCCAGTATCAAGATATTTGAATAGTTCTTAAAAGAACCACTAGATGTCTTCAGAGTTCAACAAAAACAAATATTCATGTCACCAAAGCCATGTCTTTTTTAAAAGCAATTTGACTAATAATGACGCTTAATTTGAGATTTGTATAAGTATTTCACAATTCTTCAGTTTTCCCGTCTTTTCCTCCAATGAGACACACATACACATGAGAATGAAACCTAGGGCCAGCCATTCATCTGACGCCTCTGGACCATGTTTCAGTTATGGGTCTTGTTCACGGGCACAATGGTGAAACGATTCCACCAATCACAGGATTTCTGCCAGAGACCTACCATTCACACACAGTCCTCTCCCGCAGAGCTACACACCGCTTCCTATAAATTCACCAAAATTTCCTCACGGTCTCTAGCAGTGCTTGTTTGCATTTGGTTAGCATGTCGTTTCACTAAGCAGTTTGGTGATTTAAGTGTTTTGAGCACGTGCTATCACCAGTGTCAGGGTACAGGATACTTTGAGCATCAATGTTAATGCACAGAAAATGTAATTCAAGTATTTTATAGCATCATTACTGGGTCACAAAGATGGAGGCTAAATTGAGAAGAGATCGGGTCCTGAAAGAGCACTTCACTAAAAGGTACAGAAGTGTGTAATAAATACACTCTTTCCTGTTATTCATCAGTCTTCTGTGGATGATTGAAGCCAGTCTTGCCCGTGTTTAGTTATTGCCAGGAAACAGAGCCTAGACATATTCAAATATTCAAAACTAGGTCTCTACTCATATTGTTGTCAGCAAGCCAATTTCTCCCCCAGGGCCAAGTGTGGGAGGGAGGGGGGGCCAGAGAAAAAAGATTCATGACGTTGCATTTCTTCTTAACAATGAGCTTTCCAGAATTTAAGTGTTTACTTGCTGTGGTTGTACTAGATTGACGATGTGTATTAGCTTGTGTCTGGAGGTCGCTGTTGGCTAGCTGGGCAAACCCAGCAAGGACCATACAGTCCAACCACAGGTAGGCAAAGGCTCTTCGAGAACCAGATACAGAGAAAGCAGTTCTGAGCTACTTTTTTGATCCTCGTTTTAAGTGCGTGTGTTTTGAGGTCCTTGTCCCAAACCCTCCATTCTGTGAACCTAGTGTACATTGAATGCCAGATTATCAACGGAATTTTATATTTTTCTACAACCAAAAAACCAACAGTATGGGAACTAAAATTTAGTATTCTAAAATCAGCCACACGATAGATAACATGCAATGATAACATGAAATAGGCAGTATTTTCCAACCAATCAGAATGTGGCATCTTTAGACTTTCATGCTATGCTACATTGTTTTGCTTGGTTCCATTTATGGTTTTCCATTTATGAACTGGCTATGGTTTAACTATTTATGAACGCATTACACATTGAACTGCATTTCAAACCTACGAACAGTAAGCAAATTATCTTCTGTGAAACACTGCCGTTCTCAGGAAATTCCACACAGCCTTTACATTGCATGAATGCAGGACCAAGGGATTTAAGCCTAAAAGGTTATTCCATAGCTTTGCAGACACTTTGAATCATATTCTTCTTCTTCTGGAATGATAATATTGCTCCCGAGTTCTAATCAAGACATAATTCAGGCAAAGTAAAATTCCACTCTGACAACAGAATTGTTTAATAAAAGCATTTATTAAAGCATCAAGCTCATAGTACAGATAATCAGCACATCTTGACCAACCAAAGACTAGCAAAAGAATTAACAGCAAAGTTTTCCTTCAGCACATCCTGATATTTCATGCTTCTGCCCATCCTCGTTTGACTTTACTGAAATCTTACCCAGGAAAGCTTTCCTGAAGGATCAAGTGAGAACTGGTAGGTGGGAGACCAACTGGGAAGCTGATTTGTATATTACAAAGCCTCAAAATGAGTGGATTTGTAACCAGCTTACAATACAGTGAACAACTGGTCTAAAGCACTTCAGCCTTGCAGTGGAAAATTGTGAAACTATTACTGTGGATGGGGGTGGAGAAAAAACAAAACAAAACAATCATGTTCAGTATGGTGAGCATATGTACTTACACGTCACTCGCTATTGGCTAGCTGGTGTTAAAATGTTGCAGTGGGCAAACCCAGCAAGGACCATACAGTCCAACCACATGTGGGCAAATGCGCTTTGAGAACCAGATACAGAGAAAGCAGCTCTGAGCTACTTTTTTTGGTCCTCGCTTTAAGTGCAGAATCAAGTGGTCCACTGGTCAGGAAAACGTTAGAAGCGTGGCTGTTTTACCACTTAGCGGAATATCCCAGAAGTCATTCATAATTGAAAACTGAAACCTAAACAAAATGCTAACTGCCGAGAGCAGCTCAGAAAAGCAAACGTTCCCTTGTTCCTGTGCTTAAGTCAACCTGCGCTCTCTGCCTGGAGAAGGACGAGTGTACGAGTATCACCTCATAGTCGCTCCGTACGCCAGCCTAGTGATCACAGCTGCGTTTTCACTTAGATTTAATTCTCCCAACTGAAGAAGCTGCGTTCAATTACATCAGACTCCTCCCCCCCCTCCTCCCCGACTTTTTCCTGGGAACAGGTTTCAGTTACCACATGCCCAGTCAAGGTCAGGATGTTTCTGTTTCAACTAAATTACAGCTGCTGAAAGGAGGGAAGGATGAAGCGCATTAAATACAGGGTGAACACAACTGCAGCGCACAACACTGTAGAGAAATACAGTACAAGTCACATGCACTAGAGTCACAGGACCTCCGCCACTGAACAAAGGGCATTGATGCTACTCCAAAAGCTGCAAGTGTCACATTTTGGACCGATTCACTGCAAGCATGTCTGTGTACAGTAAAAAAAAAGAAAAAAAAACATAATGGCAGTCTATGCAATAGTCGTGTGGAATGATCCGGGATGACCCTGGCATGCCGAGATTGGTGAGCATCCATTGTGTGGTTACCCGTTTCTGGGAGAAGCCATGTCATTCACAAAACTGGAGGGGGGGGGGGGGTCAGATTCATTATGTCCATTTTAGGTCACACAACATAGTAGGAAAAGCCAGCATTCTGTGGCCACACTGCACAGGAACGTTACAAAGCCCCAATACTGGATGTCAAACAGTCAACAAATGACTAGATTGCCTTGAAATATAACCTATAAATTGCCTATAAATAGAACCTACCCGCCCCTGCAGAGCTTAGGCACAGCCTTAATTTAGCACTTCAGTACCAGGTCAGTATTAGACCCAGACGTGCCGAAGCTAAGCTGGTACCAAGATGCTAGCAGAGGGCCTGAGCTGGATCAGGAAGGCCAGGTTCCAGGAGCTGCTCCATATTACTACTTAGCAGAGCGCCCCAGTTTGGGTTTATGCCCATCAAAGCCAATTAAAGCCATGCAGGTAAATTACTTCCTGCTTATTTCATCGAGAGGTTACGGTGCTGTGTGTTGATTAATAATACTCACTTGACAAAAACTGGAGGGCTAAAACCTGGAAGTGTAGCAAACTGCCATTTCAAGTATGCCATACTAAAGTGCTTTTTATATTATATACTCAAATGGCATTTTGTACCTGTGTCCACTGAACGCGAGATACCAGAAGGTCAAATGTAGATGAAATGTTATGGGTTTTAGGACGTAGATCGTTCCCTTGCCCTCCCGTCACGGCCGAGCTGCCCACCCACGCCAGCACTTGGTGGGGAAAAAAAAAAACACACAGCGCAAGTGTGTGAGGATCATGCGGTCAGAGCAGGTACTCAAAGTGCTTTCCGTTGGCATGGAGACACTTACTTGCGGGGTACGGGCTGGAAAAATTCATGGGCAAGCCTGCTGGCTAGCAGTAGGAGCGTAACCACACAATGCGAGCGTGTTCCCATCTGAGCGTACCAGGGCCCCCACCTAGTGGGCACGGAAGCCCTGTCTGTGAGGGATGCGGGGGGAGACTTGTAGGAAGGGGCCACAATGGTGGGTGCGTGAGGGGGCACCCAAAGGGCGTGTCAAACAGTGCGCGGTTAATTCCTCTACATGCACTTCAATTTTACAGCAAGAGTGGGCTAGCATACCTAAACAGAGAACAGAGCTTTCATGCAGGATATCTAAATCATAGATACAAGAATGCATACAATTCAAACTCGAAGTTAAACTAGGGCCTGTTAACTTGGAACGACGGCAGCAGAGTGACAGAGTGATTCCAACTCGGAGAAAACGGCCCCCGGGGACGAGCCCCCAGCGGTCGCCTTTCTTTTTGCGCTTCTTCATATTTAGCTCTGCTGCTGCTGCTGGCGATTCTTAGCGTAACTGGTAAAGACGAAATTGTAATCATTGAATTGGGCCAACTGGCGGTCGAGGCGCTTGTATCCCTCAAGTTTCTGTGCAGAAGAGAAGACGCTGCGACATTTGGAGCTCTGGAAAGGCGAGAGAGACACGGGTTAGGGTCCGACGCGACAGACTGACACACTAAACCTTTCCCAAGGCACGTGCTGGGGTACGATACCTGGTTAACGAAGAGTGTAGTCACGAATTTCCCCGGCTTGAAGACGTCGACAACTTTCCTAATCAGATCGTCGTAGGAGGTCTGAGACAGGTTAGTTTCGAAGCTAACATAGGAAAACTCGGGCTCTGGAGTGATGTGGATCGTCCAGTAAGTTCCCTGGAGGTACAATGGTGCAAAAATTTTTTAATTGAACTGCTGCAGTCCTAATCTGATACGGAGAGATAAGCTTGAGGAGCAAAAGCAAAGCAGGTTGACTTACATCAATCTTCATTCCATTCATTGAATAGCCACAGGGGTTGAACATTGTGGCATCAATCACAGAACCTGGTATCAGGTCACGAATCCCACTCATCTGAAGAGATGGATTTACATTTTGTTGACCAAGCAAAGACCGTTTGTCAATTAGCCAAAAGAAACCTTTACCGACATCTATCCCTCTTCATGCACATTTAGAAAAAGATCCTTACACGAGTGACATCATTTGCAGAAACACCATCTTTCATGTAGAACTGGTCCATAATCGCTGGTTCGAGATCACTCATGAGAACTTCAAGGGTCTGATCCGCATGCTTGTTCTCCCATAACTCTGGCAAATCCAGAGTAAACAGGTACCTGCAGCAACAGAAGAGCTTTTCATACCCAAAAGCAGCTGCCCATTTTTGTATCTTCATAATCGATTCACAGATCTAGCAGTCTATACAGGAACTACAAGTGGAACCTTACCAGCAATCAGTGTTCAAGCGGCCCATGCAATACGCTGCTCCATCTAAGGAGAAAAATTTGGGAATAAACATTGTGAAAAACAATCTTGCCATTTCTTACAAAATTAGACCATAGTTCTCCCAAATGACCAAATACTAACTTGGGAATATCTGGCCAAGGAACTCAACTTCCTCCTGGAAGTTCCTGTGTGGGAACTCCTGGTGGGCTGGCTTCATGAAGTTCTTACGGGAATAAAAAAAATTCTGCAGAAATCAAAGTGTGTGTCAGGAAAGTATTTCCTTGTCATGGACCTGAATTTTATGCAGGTGAAAATGCAAGGAATTTAATGAAGCTTCTGCAAAAAAATTAGTAGAAACAGTAAATTACAGCAATGTCCACACTTCCGTCTATGAAAGTCTGAGCCCTGACAATCCTGTCTTGATTCAAACAGCCTGCTATCATGCGAATTCACCGGCATCCGCAAGTCCTGTTTGATCACAACGCTGTTTAAAAGCCAGGACTCATGAATCGCACTCAGAGCCGTTAAATCATTCATACATTTTTTTATTTGTTCATACTGTAAATTATACCATACGCATTATGGCCAGGATCTTTCAGCCAAACAAACAAAAAGTCATGACAGGCGGCCTTGGTACCTCGATAGCGTCAAAGCCGCAGTATTCTCTGGCGAGTTCCAGCAGAGGAACCAGTGCTTGCAGTAAGAGGGTAGTTCCACATGTCTTCAAAATGAAACGTCTCTTGGAGACAAACATGCTACTCTCACTGTTGGAAGAGACAGTCAGCATGCTGGTGTCAGACATTTAAGACAGTCATTTCCCCCCCAAACCACGACAGCCCCTTTTAACTAGAGAATATTGCGCGATCTCCAGAAACTACAGCTAGCAATAAGCTTGGATGAAGGATAGTAGACTTTAAAACAAACGCTCTAAATTTGTAGTTAGTTTTAGGAAACACAGAAAGCCAGTTTTAGCACTCTTAAGATCTGCAAACAGAAGAGCAGTCAGGGCAGACCTGCTGGGACGGATCTGAAAGATGTTATAAAGAAATCACACTAAGGAAAGCCGTGAGCCATTTTGCAGACAGGAGAGATAATCGGGCACAGTGGGCCGCAAGGCTGTCCAGGCCACCAAAATAAATAAATCAGGCCAAGCCTCAAAAATACAAGTCGGAGCAAGGCATTCTGGGAGACATCCCTGCTTCTGTAAGCTAGAGCCCTAAATGAATTGTGGATTTCCCAGACCAACCTGGTGGATTCCAACATATCCATTTCAGCCCTGACGCAGGAATAGCAAGTTCCCCCAGAGGATACACTATTTCAAACTAAGAGGGACAGCCAGACAGCCTGCCCGAAGATCCCATTATCTACAATGATTCAACAAGGTGTGTACATGCCATATGCCACCAGAGTTCAATGAAGGACAGGTGGATTCATATTATCCATGCATAACTGGGGAATGGAAGGTAAACTGTTGACATGGTTTCTAAGGGAAAAGAGTTCATTGGCTTTTATAGCTGCTGAAAACCAATCCCTACACTCCCCAGCTCAGAAGACTATTTACAAGCAACCCAACAATGTGCATTGGCCTCTACTTTTAGATGAGCCTGTATCCTGGCAGCGCTGGGACTACGTACGGAGATAAGAGCCGCGGCGTCCAAGTCCTGCTTTCTAATCTGCAGAAAGGGGGGGGGGGGGATAAGTCAGTAAGCACACCACCCAGGAGACAGAAACGAATGAGGACACTCACCTGAGTATATAAGCTTCCTGCTTGTCAGTTTTTGTCACACTTATGATCAAACAATGCACATTCTCCAGCAGCTTGTCCCACTCAAACCTGGAAACAGAGAGCCGTGGTAAGGAAGCTTTTCAGCACTGTCACAGGAAGAATCTTGCACACATTTAATCTACAGCAGTCTCATGGGCAAACAGCTATGGCAAGAGAAGTTATGTTGACTCAACACCATGCCAGCAACCAAGGCTACATTCATGGTGGGGACAAAATGGTTACTGGTTTCATGGTAAACCACACTAAAATTCAAGACCCAGTGACAGCGTTATGGAGATTTTTTTTTATGTCAATGCACATTTAATGTGGTTTTCAAATGTTTACATACAGTGTTGGCTATTTTAATGCTTATGCAAACAAAAGATGAATACTACTGCTAAAGGTGTGTGTCTAATGTAAAACTTGAAGTGATTTCAGTTTGTGTATCAGTACTTTTTGAACACTCAGCACATTCTAGCAATACCGTGATAATACTGATAACCATGATAATTTTACTCACTATAATCATGATATTTTCATACCGTTTCACCTCTAATTCATGGGAACAACATATGGGTATTAAAACAGTTTGAAGATCTGAAAAAGTAAAAACTTCATAAACAATTATAAAATATTGAGCTGTTCAAATAATCTAAATAAAATGCTTAAGATTAGCTGCCAAGAAAAAAAGCTACATTTCTAGCTTGACTTCACTAAAGAACTCATAGTCCCTCCACCTAAGGGAGTTAGGTCGATACAATAAAATGTTTAACAGTTAAAGGAGTTTACATGCATGACATACAGGTGGTGAATCTTCACTTATAGGTAAAAAACCATGTGAGTCAGTCTAGCACACCATACAACTGTATATGACAGTGACAAAGTATTCGCCCCCCTTCCTAATCTCCAATTTTTTGCTTATCCATAACACTTGCATCTGATACGAAGGGCAACCTTAGTAAACAATCATTTGATTTCCTTGAAGGGGGGAAAAAATTTTTTTAAAAATCAATAATTTGATTTCATAATCTTTGGTCAGCTATGGTGTGAATTATAATATGCCTGAAATAGGGTAAGGTGATACATAATGAAGTCCCCTCCCCACAGGTCCATTACACCACAGGTTCTAATCAGAATGAAGCAGCATAGCCCCCTGCATACCCAAAATTAACATGGCTGTCTAGACTGGTGGGAAAATCCCTTTGTATTATTTTTGTCTAACCTGTATGGGGGTGATATGAAACGCTTTTAGCAATTCTGCTCAAAAAAAAAATGGATGAAAGCATCTCCCTAAGGCACCTGCGTATGCGCCACCCATTCTAATGAGCTGCTACAGGGACGCGTCCCCCCAAGTACAAAGCGAGAACAAGAATCCCAGCAAAGGTGCACACGCCAAAGAAAGCAGCCTACCGGGGGGGGAGGCAACACAGTTCTAGAGCAGGGTTAATATGAAATGTTGCCTCAGAATACACCCCCCACATTTCCTGACCATGAGAGCCATGAAGGACGCTCCAGAAAGGGTCATGGCAGGGGAAGGAAGTGCACAAAAAGCAGCTCTAAAGCTAGTAATCACTTATCACAGGAGCATGACCAGGCAGCCATGGCCAAACAGGACAGTGGTAGACTGCCAGTTAAGTGCTGGAATCCACAAGCCGCGTTCAGCACCTGGCAGCAGCCATTTATGGCATGAGCAGAGCAAAGAGTCGACTATGTTATGATGAGTCACTGTTTGCCAGGCCCAAAGCACAGGGCGCAATAGCAAGTATCTCAACGGACATGATCGGCTGGTCCCAATTGTAATGCCATCTGGCAGTTGGTTCACACGTGTGGCTTTCCTAGAAAGGACGAGGGACGTCCATCTTTACACATTACTACACTACAGTGGGACATCGCTCCGACGTATGAAGATGCATTTACAAAATGCTGCAGGTTTCGAAAAAGGTCAAACACCCTGCCTCGGTCGATTTGAAATTGTTCAACCATACGGGTAACATTTAAATTTTCATAGAAAGCAAGAGGAACATTATGAAAATTGATACTGGCACAGTTAAAAACGCCATACCGGATAAAAACATTAGGTATGCAGCCAAAACCTACCCACTCACTGTTCAATTATTCATAATCTATTAGAGCAACATCTTACTTCCATTCATCAATTGTTCAAAATGATAAAGCCATTTAGTCTTCACTGCATTTTAACCTCGCCGTTATTTCAAATGTATTCTCAGCTATGGAAGTATGTTTTAATTCATCCATTAACAGAGGTCTTGTGACCCCAACTAGTACACAAACAACTTTCACCTCGACAGAAAACGGATCCGGTGTGAAAAATCAACTGTCAGGTCGAAAGTGTTGTAGTAGCAACACTTTAAATGTGTTTTGCAGACGTGCAAATGCCCAACATGGCACCCAGTGTTATTTGAAGTCCTTCTGACATGAGATTCTAACGGTATTCTGTATAGCTCTCGCTCCAAGAGGGAGCTTCAGTGCAGCCGTATGCTTGCGATGTACTTAGCCGTCTCGCTGCCGTTTGTTGACGAAAGCATCTACACGATGGAAATGCTTCAGCTACATTTAACCGCTGAGCTTGCAGCCAAGTGATCTGAATCCACCGTCCTTGTGGACTTATTCGGTCACTGGCAGGACTCCACCCCTCATCCACTGACACGGAGTAGCTAATCCAGTTGAGCTGCAAACAAAATCTTGGCATCATTCGATCAACCGGCCACTCCCATGAAACTCAAGATTCACCTTCCACTGACAGCGAGTTAGGATTCTGATGAGCTGCCAATAAGTGATTAGTAATTCTAGACAGGAGCAACTGGACAAATTCTCAACTTTTGAGAAAACTTCCTGGAAGCATTCAAGCAAACACATTCCCCTTCACATCAAGTCATCAAGATTTATTGGAACATATCGAAAGCCAATCCTAATTTAGGTAACGGCAGAGAGGTTCAATAACGGTAACTGTTCCTGATCTTCCAGTTGATTGCACAATCAAAAACTGCATTGGTTTAGCATTTGACATACTGAAGGAATTCAATATTCGAACATGTTGCAAAAATTAAACTGCAGGGGCAGAGTCCTGTATCACACAGGCAATATCTGTTTACGTAGTGTGGTTACATGCAGTAACTAAAGTGTGGAATTGCTGCATTGATACGGTACCTACGACATGAGGGGGGGGTCAATGGAACGGTTGTAAAGCAGCAATTTGTCAAATGCACGTATCATTTCCTTTCCATATAATGATTAGATGTTGGTGCAGAATTTCAAGAAATAATGCCCCATAATATTTTGGTTATGGTGAATAATTGTTATAGCGATAATATTGCCACTTGTGCCGACAAAGTTCTTTACGCAGCTATTTTGAAGGTTTTTTTTTTTTTTTTTTTTTTTTTAAAGGGGGGGGGATAAAACTTCAAAACGTTCAGCCAAGTAATAGTCCAGCCATGTTAGATATAGTTTTCCAGAACACACATCGGATTTCAGACAAAATCCTGCAAGCACGGAGTATTTTAATCAAAAAAGCGTAACCGGAGCCTGTTTGGCGAACGGGCGTCACTACGCACACGGCCGCGGCCCCTTTAAGCGCAGCCGCGGTTCTGAGTGTCCTTGCAGCGGAACGGCGGCCACTCGCGGGTGTCGCAACACCAGTTGCGCCCCATTTAGTGGTCGATGGAGTCCGCCAATAGGAGGCGAGGGTGGAGCAAAGAAGATCAAATATCAAGGACTAAAAACGTGACTTCGTTAAGTCTAAATCTAAGCCGCAGGACTGGTCTGCTAGCAAATGAATGAACGTGAATTAAATAATAGTGGGACTACTGACATGGAGCTCTCCGAGTGTCGGGTTAAAATCAGGGCGCAGTACCAATGTGTCAAAGACTAAATCGTCCAAAGGACTGCAGCGAAATGAGCGCACCTGTGCAAAGACTAACCCGTTATCAGTAATGTCTAGCTACAGTTGAACGCAAGACACGTGGTGCGTCCGATCTCACGGCTAGACCAAGTTTCCGTATTTCGTCTTAACGTCAGCTTACCGTTGCCGGCCCTCTTCATAAAAGTAATAAATCGCCCAAGTGTGCGCGCAGAAAAGCCGCCGCAGTGCTCGTAAATCCGAAGGACCGGCGGCCGATGCGGCACTTCCTGCTGCTCACAGGCTGCGCGGAGGGACGGGGAGCCCCTGCGCCGCCGAACCACATGCCTGGGCCCCGCGCGTCACGCAGACCAGCCAGCGGAAAATTACCGGAGACCATCCGCAGATTCTTACCCACCACGTTAATCCAAAGTCACCCGACAGCAAAGGGAATCATAGTGGCGAGAAATCTGCCAAAGAAAAGCAGCGTTATTTGACGTTAGATAAGCGGCTGGCCGACGACCAAGCGCTGCGCATTAGCACTGCCCTGGCCATCTTAACTCACTAGCTACGCAGGTCCATGCAGAGACATGACGAATGAGTATTAAGGACCCGATTGTGCTTCGGCGCACACCATTTACCAAGTCCTCCCTCCCCCAAAACGGTCGCATTTAGCACACTACTACCGATTTCTTTTCATTTTATCGTGATCACTAATCACCAGCCACACATTTCATTGCTAGTCAGAAATAAATGAATGAATGAGCTTTGGGGTGGGGATGTCTGACGGCCGTGTTATTATTAATAGGCACAAATAAACATCATCCAATTAATTGGCGTCGACTTCCACACCATATTTGGCAAAGGCCCATACAAACCACCGCTATCTAGGAATGGTGGCCGAATAATACCGCCAGGAAGATCGCAAACCTACGAGAATAGGCGACTAGAATGTCTGGCCAAGGCTGCATAGTTCAATGACACTCAATTCTGAAAAGGCCCAACACACCTCGCTACGGATGTAGTCAAAGGTGTTTGAAACCGATTTTAGAGGATACTAACCTTGGGATGGTACGAAGGTCCCCGGTTCCTTTGGTCTCATCTTCTCGGGAGAACCACACCTCCAACAGCTTCTCGGTCCCCTCGAAGAAGTGTGCACCGTTCTCTTCCATCGTGAGACAACAGACACGAACAACAGAAATCACACGTTGCTTATTTTCAACTTAATTAATCCTTCCTTGATAGTTAAGTTAATATTTCAGTACAGTCCTTTAGCAGTCCAGGTATAGCTTTCTTGGGTTTACCGTCTTCCCTTTTGCAGAGAATACCGTAAAGCGAGCGCTAGCTAATATCGCCGGCCATACTGTGTAAAGCCGAGTTGCAAGGAAGAGCGAAGGATTTTTAACAGTCACCAAGAAGCCAGTCTCCAATTTTACACCAATCACATATCCAGACAGTTACAATGAACAGTCCGATTGGCTATTGCAATTGTCAATAATTTCAAAGAGGGGCGTGACACCTACTCGTCATTTTTTTTTCAGGGAATGGCCGAAGAAGCCTGACTCGCTCTACTAGTGATATAAATTATTCGTGTATTAAGTATATCCCATAAAACTTGCATGCGGTACGGACTGTCTGTTGCTATGTGTAAACCAGCGATTAATAATTTCACGAGTTAAATTGATTTTCAACAATGTAATATTAAACATTAAATATTTGATAACCAGTAGTTGAAAACTAAAAAAAACAACTATTTATCAGCTACGTTTCAGAGATAATATAGAGCATAGAAATCAGAAATACTAGGCATTTTATTTATTGTGGTTTCATGTATCTGAGGTTTCGGTTTTCGTGAATCAGTTTTTTAGCTATTACATTAAGAACTTTCTTGCTACAGTGGAGTGATGGTAATAATTAAAATGATATATTTGATTCTGCACAATTAATGCACCTGTAATGGAAAAAAAAATGCAAATCGATATCACGTGTATTTGTATTGCTATTAAATTGGGTAGAGAAAATGTCATTTATTCGTCTTGCAGTTAATTAAACAAAAATATTTCATAAACAGCTACTGCTTAATTAAAATTCTAATGTGATTTTCCGTTATTTGGTTGTGGCGCAAAACACGCACAAAGCGCCAAAGTGCATGCATACGTCATTATTTTTCTACGGCTAGTTTGCGAACAATGTTACTTATAAATATTGTTGAATGAAACCATGAAATGTTCGTCAAAATTAAAATTTATGCGCAAAATCGCCGAAGACTTGCGAAAAAAAAATCGAATGATTAATGATAAACTTGCATTTTCAGCCCACACGTAAAAAAATCCAAGATATGAAGTACGTATACCCGCATTGTTTTTTGTATTTTAGTGCATGTTACTACGCAAGTGCGTTAACCGCAGAGCGGTGTGAGGATTGTAGTTTAATGAGCTGGGGTCGGGCCTTTTGGCGGCGCCGAGCTGGTTGTCAAAAACTACCGACCCCAGAATGCCTTGCGGGGCAATCAGAAACGTCAACGAGCCAGTGAACATTGAGCGGAGCAGACCAAAATCCCAAACAAGGAAATGGTGGGGGAATAAAACGATCAGATTATTTAATTAATGCATGTAATAATTAATATTTTATTTTATTGTAAATTAAGAAATATTTATGGGTAACAATGGATTACGACTTCAAAACAAAGCTCGCGGCGGAAAGAGAGAAAGTAGAAGATCTGTTTGAATATGAAGGTTGCAAAGTGGGTCGAGGCACCTACGGTCATGTTTATAAAGCTAAGCGCAAAGACGGGTAAGAGAATCTGAAAGCGTTATTGTTATTACTCGAATACGGACATTTTTGTGATCATATGTTCACTAGCGAATTAGGCATAGAAACGGTTCGATTTGCCCCGTACTCTCCCTGTGACTGTTTTGTTTTCATGCACGCAAGCACTCACTTAGCTAGCAATAACGATCCTCCCCCAAAACAGAGTGATGATGTTTATTTTTGTCAGCCTGGGCAAGGGCAGAGGGTTACTGTATGTAGCAAGCTATTTAGCAACTTAGAGGTTTAATGTTGGCATTCAGCACTTTTCGCGCAAAGTAGTTGTGCCGTTACCTCGTCAGACAGCAATCATTCTGCTGGCAAATCAAAGCTTTGAATGTAGAATAGCGATGCATCAGAAGGAAGACGTCAAAAACCAGTAACGGTATTAAGAATCAGCAAGCCAGATGTTGCAGATGCCGTGATACACGCGATGAATTGACAATGGTGGTCAAACTTCATCAGAAGATAAACAATGTAGTATCGATACACAGCTAGGTTTTAAATATAACATGGGATAGTATTTTTTATTCATTAACTTGTAGATAACCAATGGTCATTCAATGCTAGGAAATACAGTTCATGTGTTAAATCCTTTTGGGCCACTGTCATTCGTAACTGTTCAACTGTAGAGATTGTTTTAATCCTGTAGCTGTTGGTTATGCTTCAGGAACGATTTTGCCTGTTACTTTGGTGGGTTTTAGGATGTTATACTGATTAACAATTTCAATCATTTGTTTTAAATGTAAAGAAAACATTGACATTCCACAGCAATGAGAGCTACAGTCAATTGATGCTTATTTTTGCTTCTGTGATGACAGATGTGGGACTCCTGATGGTCAGATGACTTGCTAATAATGATTTATCTTCCTACCAATTTCATATTTTAATCAGATAAAGTACATACTTGGATTTAATATATTTTGCAGGGGAGTTTTCATTTTAAGTTGATGAATCAAATAACATTGGACATAGGTAATACTGTAAGAGTCATAAAATAAACCTGTTTAGCTAAATGTTTGTCACTTCTCTTTTTTCTAACACACAAGGGTTTTTGTCTGCCCAGTTTGCTGAATTGCCAAACCCAAAGCAGGTTGTTTTTTTCTTGCAGAGAGACTTTGAGGGGAAAAAATCTGTGACAGGAAGGGAGCTGCTTATGGCATTTGCATATAACAAGTTTGGTTTCAGCAATCGACTGCATGAAAGTTCACACAGGCTGGCGTTTCACTGCATGTTGTATGTATGTGACAAATAAATCTCTTGACTCTTGACACTAAAGATCTTAATTTCCTCACAGCTGTGGTAGTTTTAGGTTCAGATTGTTTTGCAAAAATCCAGTTTTTGCTGTTTCAAGTAGACTATAGCCGTTTGTGTCTTTATATTTACATGTTTAGGTTTGTTTTTTTTTGCTTGCATGTAAGCATGCTTATATTTTTAGGGAAGGTAACAAGGCTTGATGCTAATGACAGGTTGAGTAACCTAATCCCACTATAGTTTTTAAGGTGCATTCGGTTACTTTCTTTTTTATTTCTCAGTAATAATAATAAATATTATTATATATAAATATTATTATTAAATACAAATAAAGTATAATACAAGAATAATATAAATACCACATTTGCAGAAAGTGACAATGTTTCATCAAATTTTTGTCTAAAATAAGATGATTTAAAATGAGTGTAGGATGAGAATGTTGTACTTCATCAGAACTCAAGTGGGAGTTCGAGCTAGATTTTATCTACTATTTTATAAACTTTCAGAAACTGCCACCAAACTTTTACTCACTCATTTTGATTGTTCGTTTTCATTGTGGTTTGTCTGTAAAACCTCTAGGGCAGGGGTCACCAACATGGTGCCCCCCGCCCGGCACCAGGACGCCCCCAAGGACCACGAGTCACCCGCGGACCTGTTCTAAAAATAGCACAACTCACCAGTGAGCAGTGTCTAAAATTTAATTTTATCCTGTTTCTATTCATCTTTAATTACATTTGTATTTATATAAATTGAAAAATAACATCTAAAAATAAGCATTTAAAACATGTTTATTATACACAAAGTTTCATAAAACCATAAACGTGATCAGTGTCTTCACATACATGAGTAATAATTTATGTAATAATATATAACTAAAGGTAAATGAGCAAATTTGTTATTTAAGAAGAGTGCATCAAACTGGTAGCCCTTCATATGGCTCAGTACTGGTGAAGTAGCTCTCAGTTTCAAAAAGGTTGGTGACCCCTGGTCTAGGGATTATTTGAAAAGTGATGTAGTAATTGCACATTGGTCATTAAAGTCTGATCAAGTGGAGTACTTTTTTTTTAACTGCAGTAAAATGTGAAAATGTTGTGAAATACTTTGAAGGGTTGTTAGTCACCGTTTCTGTTAAACCTTAGTGTAGCCTCAGGCATTTTTTCACTAAAGATGACATCTGTAAGTATACAATAATTTTAAGCAGTCAATTTAAATTTAATGAAAATATTGAAATTCATCAGAAATGAGAGGTACAGTAAACCGATGCTTGTCTATGCCTCTCTGATGATGCGCGTGGGACTCCTGCTGGTCAGCTGACCTGCTAATAATGATTTACTTTCCTCCCAATTTTCATATTTTAATCAGACAAAATATGTACTTCTATTTAATATATTTTGTGGTGGAGTTTTAGTTTTAAGTTAATGAATTAAATAACTTTGGCCATAGGTAATAAGCCTTAGTCACTGTTCCGGCAGGACCTTGATGTCAGGCAATTTTCTGCTGAAGATGACACCTATCGACATATAATAATCCAGTGGATATTAAAATGTAGAATATGGATTCCTTGTGCATATATGAAATCATTTGCTTATTTTAGCATGGAGAAATTTAGCAGCCTCTGGAAGATAAGGCACCATGTGTAAAATAATATTGAAGGGAGGTCACAGGAAATCAGAGCGACACGGGGAAAACTTTGTTTTTATTCAGTTTTTGAGGTTAAATGAGTAGCAGTGGTGATAATTTGAGTCTGTAATTGCGGGGTTAGGGTTCAGTGAGCCTGGGGGAGCAAGCTGTAGGATTCTGCTGCACACACTGGCACACAGCTGGCACCTCAATAACCTGAATGCCAATCCCCCATGGTAGATATAATTCAGTGTGCCCATTATGTGGCCCATGACCTAAAGAAGAGACGTGTTCGTTGCTCAGGAGATAGTGACAGTTGTGGGGAGAGCGCTGGCTTAATTAAAAATTTTGCTGTCTCTTTGTATTTCATGGTGCCTTTCTTCTCGTCAGTTATTTCAGATATTTCTGTTCGGAACGTCACAGCAAGCCGCTCTGTTCACGCGCTATCCTCCACCGACAGAGTTTTGAGTTTCTGAGTGTCATTCCACTTTCAGTCCCCGCTGCAGTGCCCATCGATCTTTACTCCTGATATGAGAAATAGCTTTGCTACTCTCCTCTAGCACGGCAGCATAAGGGCCGTGCTGCCTTCTGCAGAGCTGAGCACCTCCGAAACTATCGTTTTAAGTGCTAAGGAAGTGAAGCTTAAAATGAACTCATCCCTGTGCAGAATAATCTACCTTTATGCTATCTAACTACGGCAGGCTTTTCATGTGCATCTGTCAACATAAACCTTGTTATGCCAAGGTCCTAAGCTGTCCTCAGAGCTAAAATAAAAGCACTCTTAAATTGTATTGACTTCTTTTCAGTTTGAAGGTGAAAAATAGCTCAGATCTAGTGTGCGTTGTGCTACGTTGGCAGTATGATAGTGAGCTCTACTTTGCTTGGTCCTGGTCCTGTGTGTAAAGGAGGGTGGTGGTGTAGATAATGTCACCAGTTCTTAGGGGGTGAGGGAGTGGGCGGGCTCTCTTGGGCTTCCCTGCAACTCCGCACTCCTGTGGCTGAGAGAAAAGGCCATTGGCAGGTGCCAGGGACCGGCTCCGCTGTGATTGTCTGTGATTGTCGCGCGGAGACCGGCCCGGCCATGGGCTGCACACAGGCCCACGTTCACACGGGGCAGCGATTGTATGTTTGTTGTGAAGCACAAGTTTCAGTTTTGATCTGTCTGTGTCAGTGTTTCCCATTCCGGGTCTCAGGGATCCACAGTCGTTCCACGTTTTTGCTACCAGCAGCTGGGAGGGAGCAAAAACCTGGACTGTCTGTAGGTCCCGGAGGACCGGATTGGGAAACACTGATCGTTTCGACTTCCAAATATTCCTGTTTCCTATGTTTATTATTATTATTATTATTTTAATTTTGTTCAAAAACTTCACTTTTTTGAATTCCTAAACTAAGAATATTTAGCCACCATGTAATTAACTGTTAAAATGAATTCAACAGCCAGTGATCAGAGGCTGTAATTTATTCTCTTTAAATAGTGTCTCCAAAGTGAAACAGGACAGATAGTTAGTGAAGATGTGCATCGTTCCAAGCCAGACTTCCTTCACTACAGATGACTGAAAAGACAAAGTGTTTGTTGATAAAATGTTTATCTCTCCCCTCACTTGTTTCATATCTCTGCAGGAAAGACGAGAAGGAGTATGCACTGAAACAAATAGAAGGTACCGGAATATCGATGTCTGCGTGCAGGGAGATCGCGGTGAGTGGACATACTGGACACGAATATCGACATGGGTCCTTGGCCAATGGGTTTTACTCCTCATGGCCGATGTCAAAGGTCATCCATTTTGGGGTCAGAGGTCAGAGCCTTAAGGGCCATTGACGGTTTCAGTTATCAGCCAGCCAGTAACTAAATAAAACAGATTCTGGCAGCCATCCAGGGATATGCATACCATGATTAGCAGGTTGACAATCTATATATGGATTTATTGAATTTCTCCTCTTCTTCTCTAACAAAGTTGGTGACTGCAGATTTTTAAGTGAATAAAGCTGGTTTTTACTTTATGGGTGCTTTGCTTGCAATCAACATGCAAATAGAGAAGACATTATGGGATTACCAGTCAGAGTTGAGTGATAGGTAGTGCGTGAGAGCCGTTCAGCATTCAGTTACATGAAGTCATGCTAAGAGCTAAGCAGCCTGTCTTCCATGCTACCTCTACGACCCCCTTCTTAAAATCACTTAAAAAATGCAGGTGGGTACAATACACTTTTATTGTTGCTGTCAGTGTTTCCGACTTCCCAAACAATGGGGGGTGGATTTCCTGCAACACTAAACATTTCAATGGCCCTTGTTGTAATTTCAGTCGGCATTTAAATTTTAATTCTCGACTTATCGTTCTGAGTATCACGTACGCTGCACGGAGGTGAGTATCGGTCATCCCCCCCCCCCTCCCGCTAGCCACTCTGCGCTAGGCATAAATTGAGGGATGAAGCCAGTCCTGGTCGCAGTTCTTGCCGCACGTGTTCTTACAGCTGCGTTGAGATGATGCATGGCAGGTGCGAATTTGCACGCAAAGCCATGTGAGGATGGAATGGCCCCGACTTGGATTTCAGTCAAGTTCTGGGAATCATTAAAAATGAAATTGGGGCAGCTCCTGGTTAGCCTTGTGGTATTATTTATTTGTGTGTTTGTTTGTTTGTTTGTGTGTGTGTTTGCTTGTTTGTTTGTTTTTACCACCTGACATGAGCAGCCCCCTGGACATGGAGTTTATTTTGTGGTGCCCCTTGGTCTGGTCTTGTGAAGACGAACATTGTAGGCGCTCAGAACTGAACGGGTCTGCATTCCATTACAGCCTTTCAGATATCTGTAGCTGTGGTAGGAACCATGTCACAAGGTCAGCCTCGTTACCATGGCGACCAGTGACCGTGTTTGACGTATAACCGTGCCACCTCATTGGCTCTCCCATGCATTCTTAACATCTCATTTAAAAAAAAAACACACAAAAAATGCCACAAATTCCTTGAGTAGTTCCTGGCAGTGTGTCTCTTGACTGATTTACATGTGAGAAGGGGCTAAGGACATAGACTGGGTACTGGCCTTCATATCTGGGGCCAGAGAGTACGAACGCCGTAAATTAAAACAGACTTACACCAGGTTGGTGCCTTTAGATCTAAAACTAGCTGTTAGGGGCAACATCATGTCTGCTTCACTGTGTCCAAACTATGTCCTGCCTTAGGAAAAAAAAAAAGAATTTTAAAATGTTGATGCCACATTCGAAAGGGAACACAGTTGAACAACAACAGTTGCCTACTTTGCGAATAAGGATTTCAAAATAGACTTATGGACCTGGTGCATGTGAAACTGGGTGTGACTCTGCATGGAATTGCTTGCAACATAACATTTTTAGCTACGTGTTACTTTAAAATGAAAATTGTTGTGGTAAATTACCATTGGCTGACACACAGGGGCAAAAGTTTCATTGGTATAATGGTTGCGGCCGACCTTTGACCCAGTGGAATGTGTTGGGCTGTTTTTAGCAACTCAGAACTGAACTGAAATACCTGACATGGAGGAGAAGAGGCAGCGACGGGACAGAGAGGTTATGCAAAGAGAAACGGCCGGTTGTGTTCATTACAGCGGAAAGGGAGGGCAGCTGTGTTGAAAACGATGGTTCTTGCTGATTGGGAAAGCCTTTGGTCCGATGCTTGACCACAAACCTTTTTGTGTTTCGTGAATGGGCAGATGTAGTCAGGGAGGCTGCATGGAGGCTTCTGGGTATGAGGCATGGCGCAGGCAGAGGGCTGCTGACGTCACTTCCGGGCAGCTGACGTCACTTCCGGGCAGCTGGATCGATAGGGGCTCTCCCATTGTACAGAGAGCCAGGTGTTTCATCTGGGTTCAGCTCTGCTAGCTCGGCTGATTGGCAGTTGTGCCCCCCCCCCGGCATGTGGGTTTGCCTGTCTCATGTTCTGGTGACATGAAGGGGACGTTGTCCTTGAAAGAATAAATGATGTCACAGTTTGCAGGGCATTAATCCTAGGCTGTGTTACCAAACTAAATGCCTGATTACACAGCGGCTAACGAGACACTAAGGGTAGAATCCTGTGCTCCTGAATGACTAAAATGGTTTCGGTTTTTATCTGTCATATGTACATATCTTTTGGAGCGCGAGCTGGCCAGGGATACACTCCTAATATCCGTTCTCTAGTTGTGGTAACCGTTATTGTTTCCTAAACGACACAAATACAGAGCATTCCCAATTTACGACTGGATTCCGTTCCAACAAACAGGTCACATGTGGAATCGGCCGAATGTTGGAATAGGGTAATCGCACTGACTTGCGGGTATGAAACTGAGTGCCGCGTGATACACTGAACTGGTTACTCTGTCGTATAGTACAGTACTTTCCCACAGCAACTATTGTACAACACACAAAGCGCACTCGATAGCTGCCTGGTGCATGGCCACCCAAAATTTATTTATTTATCTTTACAAACATTTACTAAATAAAAATAAAAAATTCTGTCGTAGGTGCAAGTCAGTGTATGTCGCATAGGTTGTAAGTCTGTACATTTTGAGCTTACTAAAAGTTCTAATGTAAATGGAAACATTATACATATTTTAGGAAGTTACACATATCTGACAATTTTAAAGGCCTAGGATCTAGAGTTTGGAGAAGTTGTAATTATTTTATTGTTCCTCATTTGAAGTGTTTAACAGTACATTTCCGCCAATGAATGTAAGAGCACCACCTTTTATGAGAGACTCTCCCCTCGTGTCCCACCACCCTGAGACGGACGTGTGGCGTCAAACTCACCGCTTTCTACTAAGGAACATTTTGGGAAATCTCATGAGAGCCACTTATGACCGTGTGCCTGTTTTCTTTCCTCTCAAGTAGATGTCGAGCTTAATTTTAGGTTGCAGTTGCGATACTTGCTTACCAACCTTAATGGTATTTAGGAGTTGGAATGCAGAGCTGGTGCCCAGTGATGGAGTGTGTTACCCTTTGCCAGTGTGCCCACTGCCTCGTGCCCGGTAATTCCTGGAATGACCTTCAGGATCACAGTGACCGTGTACTGGACAAACAGCTATGGACGCCTGTAATACGCTGCTCATTGGGAGCATAACAACTATGACAAATAGGGATGAGGCAGAGTTCTGTTCATAAGATAAGATAAAACTTTCTTCATTTCAAGGGAAATTATTGTGCCAAGAGAACTCCCACCATGCACGATTAAAACAACAAACAGAGCTTAAAAACACCGAATAAAACAGTACAATATAATGCAAAAATGCAATATAATGTACTATAAAATAAAGAATACAGAATTTGCAGAATAATGCTAATCTGACAGTAATGCAAGCGTTTTGAATCTGAAAAGAAAATTCAGTGCAGACAGTGCAAAATCAAAACAACAGATTTCTTCCGGTAGCGTAGCATAGCTTTCAGAAACTTGACCATTATATTTCCCTGTTCTTATTGTACTCAAACAATGGCACTGCATCACTAAATGCCGAGAGTTTGTCATGTCAGTTTAAATGTATTTATTGAAATATTTCTTTAGTAGTTGATAAAGGGGGGAAAGTATTGGATTGGTGTCAGCAGGCACTCAAAATCCTAATATCAGGATCAGACCCCAGGGTTTCCTGTCAAACCTGCCGATGTGATGGTTTATTTATTTACTTGATACTAAATATTAGTCTCACCATCCAGCATGTTTCTCTGCGTGGGATAGGATTCGGGTCATTCATTGTTGCACCACATTGATGGGTTCTACGTCGTGTTCGATCGTGGCTGCTTTTAGATTTATGCCTTTGCACACTGATACCTGCTTGACACTGTCCACCCGTTGCAGGGCACGGTAGTTTCCACTGGGAGCATCGCGGTCGATATTCAGGCATCCTGGCCGGTCGGCATAGGGCTGGCAGAGAGCTGACGTGAAGACAGGCTCTCTGCAGCTTCAGCGGGGAGAGAGACCCGCATAATTGAATCCCGTGGACGGAAATATTAAATATAATTGCTGTGGCGTAATCCCAGAGGTTCTGCTGCAGGAGGAGGTAGAGAAGGTGTGGAACACGGCAGAGTCCCCTAGGATTACGGATATAAAAAATTTCGGAAGGATTTGTGTTCCGTCACCAAACACACACTCCTCGAAATGCTATTATGTGAATATGGACAAATTAGTTTTTCAGACACGACTGAATCCTCCCTGCGTGTGTTTAAAGCCCTGTATCACTGAGCAGGGTTAGCGTGGTGATGTCTCACAGTTAAGGTACGAGGGCCGCAGTGTCAGACCTGCACTTTATCCCAGTGTAACCTTCACTCTTCAAGGTTTGTTTTTGTGTGTCCAGGAGTATAAGTTTCATTGTACTGTGTGCTTCCAATAGACCATAATGCCAAGTGAATGCAGCAACCCACAATAACGATAACAGTAACTTGCTACTTTTATTGTAGCTGTCATTGGACATGTAAATAACTATTAAAAATGTCGCCTTCTGACAGGATGAAGCTCTCCACAGAAAATTATAGCTCAGCCCTGCTGCATTTACAGCTCAGCATTTACGTGTACAGAAATCTCGGGAATAAGGTGTAATGTGTCTGAAAAGTAGGAGCATTTTATGTCAGTTACCCCTGAGGGTTCATCAAAATCTTGTGGTCCAAGTGCAAATCCATTCTGTATCGTCCGCTGTAAGGGTGCAAGGCAGCTGTGTTGAGCGATGGGAGTTGTTTTTGTTACACCCTGCCCTTCTGCGGCAGC